AAATACATTTATAACATGAATCTTATATATTATGCTATTTAATTGTTATAGTTAGCAAACAATAAGATAAACAAATTTATCTTTATATACAATATATATGTACATATATATAAGTACTACAAAAACTTAATCTTATTGCTATGAAATATGTAATGCGTCATTCCTATTTTAACACAGTTGTTAAATATATTTTAGTACTCTTAAGTATACTTTTGAATTATTTAAAATAATTATTCTAAATTTCTGGTTAGTTATCCGCCGTAGCATTTGCAGCAGAAATTAAAAATTGAAAGGTGCTAATTTATTTGCGATAAATTCACAAGCGCAAATTAAAAGAAATATTTAATCTTATGACGAAAAGAGAACAATTTAATTTAATTTAATTAAGAATCTTAATTTAATTAGATTAAGATTTAACATTATTCACCTACATATTTATCATTTGTTTCCGGGATAAAAATGTATAAGTTCATTACACGTAATCTGATATTGCGCATTTATATGCTTCACACAAGGCAATTCGATAGAAACACCGTGATTGGCCGCGAGGTTTATACCTAATGTTTTATGCATTCTCTTTCTGCAATGATCTTAAAGCATCAACAGAGGAAGGAAACAAGCAACCCATCTGAGGAGAATGCGGGCAGGTCTGCGGCATTCCCCTGGAGGTTGAGATCGTATTTCCGGCTCTCACAATTTTACTATTTATGCAATATTGTACTCGGTCCCATCGGATCACAAGATAGGTCGTAGCATTTGAGCAGGGGCGAAGTTACTAAGTACCGCTAAAACCAGTTCTCCACTTCGTAAACTCTGTCCTTTGTTAAGCAGTAACGATTGTAATTGCGAGAAATACGAAAATTATTTGCGAGAAATATAAATGCTTTTTTTACTTACATTACGTGTATTTATATTTGTAAAATAATTTTATGAAAATAATTATTTTAATATTCATATTTTCAAGAGAGATAGCCTGGTCTATTATTTCTTTTTATTTGTGTATTCTTTGCTTTTGTGGAAAAATTATAACAGTTTTGCGCACTGAGGATTTAACAATTAAAGTTCTCTAATGAAATTTGTTTATATTAAAATATCAGTGAAATTAGAATGGAAGAATACACAACCTGTTATCTAAAAGAGATTTTCTGTTCTCGTTTGACGTCATATTAAAAACAAGATGCAGCAAGATGTGTCTCACCCGTTGCAGATTATAATTAAATTTTATGTTATATTTACATAATTGCATTCTTTTTAATACTTTAATGTTTAATTAAAATAAATTTTATGATCATATTACTGTGTATATATGCATATAGTTGATATAATAATATATTTTACTTTACAATTTTTTGCAGTTATATGAAGTAATAAATATATTTCATGTGGTTGAATGTAATGGTCGTTTATCTTTTTCGCTTTATTTACACAAAGTCGATGTTCGAACAGGATTATTTTAATATGACATATCTCCGTACCAAATCTCTTTCCTGTATCATGCAATACATAGATTGCTATTATTTACATAAGAGCAATATTTTGTACCATTATCATTTTATTATAACTTTTTTATATCTGTAGAAATAATTATTTTGCATGCCCGTCAAGAGGCATTAAAAATGCTTGACGCATTTTTAGATGGAATCCGATCAGTTATGTTAATCCAATTTAAATATCAACTCAAATATATATATGTGTGTGTTGATATAGCTCCATGTTTTTTTTTAGTAATACTTATTTTAATTAAAATCCAATATATATCTCTCATATATCGTTATGAACATGTCTATCAAATTAAACAGATCTTTTTTGGATATTTAATTTGCTAAATTAAAGTATTTTTTATATTAAAAATGCGAATATTCAGCATATTTTATTTCATTATGTTTCATTTTTCATATTTTTACCTATTTTTTACTTCTTATTGTAAATAAATTGTTATTGTAAATTGTATTCTAATTAGTAAATTAAAAAATATTGATGAAAACCAATAAATAAATATCAAAACTTTGATAAAAATTTATAAATAAATAATTAATAAATAGTTATTTGAATATTTATTTACATTTTTTCTGATTGTGGCAATTAATATTTGTGTTTCAGATATCGTGGATTCGGCGACGTGACTTTCACGTTTTAACAAGCTCGATGTTCACATACACGAACGACGAGCGATTTCAAGTACTGCATCCCGAGGGCTCGGACGATTGGACCCTTCAAATAAAATACGTCCAAGAAAGAGACAATGGGACGTACGAGTGTCAGGTAATGTAATCTCCTACATGAACAACCCTACGGGTTAATTGATTCAATGTATTTTAACAAGTGTTTCTCAACTTTTATCGCGCGATGTATCATTCTCAGTTGCTCGTTTTATTATTGTCTGTTGTTTTTCTTTTCTTTTCTTTTTTTTTTTTTGAAGAGTAAAATTAACGAATCACTCGATTTATGCTGATAACACATCATTTTTTGCGGTTTATTATTATTAATAATATTTACCGTTGGACTCCCTAATATAACTTCCAAATTACTATCTTTGGATGTACATTTCTATCTTTAGATCGATGAATTTCAATAATTACATGCTACATGAAAGTATATGAGCGTATATCATTAAGTGATGTACAGATGCGTATATATACAGCGGAAGTAATAAATCCTTCTATTAATAATTCCAAACATCACTAATTATGCGCACCGCAATGTATGCGTCATCAATTTGGCATTAAGTCGATGTATATTCAATATCTAATGTTATAAAATATTTATCATTGCAAAACATTATTCTCTTTTATAACTTTTTGTTAATATAACTGATATTTACAATTAGTAAATTATTAAAAGAAAAGTGAAAAGAGATGATGTAAGTAACTCGGTCTAAATTAAAAATATATTGGACCGAGAAAAAATTTCACGAGGATGCTATAAAAATCACTCCAATGTGAACAGAAAATAATTTTGATGTCCAGTTAATGGCTCCATAATTAGAGAACTAATCCGAAATTAGAGAACTTTTTCGTCGCGTCGCGTCGCTAGGAAATATAATTAAGTACGATATTGGGAACACTAACACGTAAATCCGTATGACGTGAGCAATATGGATAAACCGTTCTTGCTGCATATTCATACATTTTTCCGGCTAATGGAACGACAAACACAAGCTCGCGGCAAATACTTGCGAGCGTGAAAGAAATCGGACAGCGTGAATAATGAGACATGATGCCCGCTTGCGTTCGCTGTCGAGTAAACTCTGAAAACCTGTAGCAGTCTTTGACCTTTCTAAAGTTTCTCCGGATAAAGGCTCAAGTTTGGGATAGCAAAGACGGCCTTTTATGTTAATTTTGAGGTGCGAATATAGTGTAGCCACGAAACTTTTTCCAATGAACTTAGAAAACCACCATTTTCGCATTGCTCGCTTTCTCTATTTTACTTCGAGAGACACTTCCGGCTTATTGTCGTAACCAACGATCTTTAGAGACTTTAATTGATTATCGGCAAGTGAGTAAAAGATAGGACATTATCCTTTAAACTCTGTGTATTTTTTGCGAAAATGTTAATAAAAATGTTTCAAAATCAATCATTAAATTCTCAATTATAAAGATCATAAAGTCGGAATTCATTTAAGAATATAAAGCAGAATGAAATATAGAATAAAATATCTATAATAATAGATACAGATATTATATTTAATACATTGGAAGAAATGAAATGATACATAAAACGATTAACAACAAAATCCATTTATTATAAAATAACGTTATAATTAAATGATATACAATAATGAAAATTAATAATTCAATGTACAACGTAATATTAAAAGCCGATTACATCATTGAAATTTAGATTGTACTTTTAGACAATAATATAATTATAATGAAGCTAATGAATATTATATAATTTGGTGCTAGTTATACTTAAATAATTCGTCTATAATGACTTAATCGGAATACAAAATAACTTATTATACAGGAATCTTTATTTTTATTCATTAAAAGTACTTTATGAATTATTTTGAAGCTTTTTCATTTTACGGTCAGGCCTCTAGGAATAACTCGAACGGTTAATTAACTATTATTGTACTAAAGTTTTTTTAAAATTATAACTAATTTGAATGATATATATAACACCTATTAATCGACACCGGTGTCCAACTTGATCAAAAATAAAATGCATATCATAGCGCTTTTATAATCGGCAAAGAATTGATTTTGAAACTAAATAAATGTCTACCAACTATTGCTGAATGACACGGCGTTCCATCTATTTGACCATAAAAAGAGAGAAGAGACGAGTGTGATTGTATGGTCCCAATGCAACTCTCGACATCTCATTATGCAACGAGATCATTGAGCGTGGAAATCACTGTGTCACAAGGTCGATAATACGTGGGTGTCTTCCTGACTATATAACGTGTATATTATAACGCTTGAGATGAGTATCGCCCACACAATGTCCAACGGTCCGTCATTGCGGTTTCTAATTAAAAGTCATGGGGGGATAAACGTCCGAAGCGATTGCTTGTCTCACAATGACGAACCGCATAGTCGGATAACGAATTACTCGTTAATCTTAGCGTGTAACAGTGTCCCAAGCCACTGTATCAGTTATTATACCATGCACTGAATTACAGTTCCTCATTTCTCGAATCCGCGTAATCGGATTTGTTTATTATAAATAAAACTAACTATTTAAAGTGACATAAAAATTAATTATAGATAAACTTGCATTATGCAGATCATATTGCCATAATTTTCGATATCTTTACGCAAGTAAATCGGAATTTATATTTTGCACGAATAAAATTAAATCATGTATGCATATACGTGTGTAATAAGGAGGGTGCAAATTATACCGGATTAAGATAATTGCTTTCTGAAGTTCTTGCTTGAATATGAAGTTCATCGCGACTACATAACTTCGATAATTTGACTGCTAACAATCATATCCTTGATGGAACATGCACTTTTGGAAGAGATCTTTGATTCATTGGACATGATCGAATGTTGCCGTTTTTTTCTGTTCTTTCCTTTGTAAACTACATTCTCTTTTCATAGATCTTGTCTTCGAATAATGTTTACAAAATTAGATAAATTAAGATGATGCTACACAACAATAAGCATCAAAGTTTCTCGCGAGTTCTTCTATCTCCGTTATTGCCCCAGCAAACATTTTAGCGTGAAAAAGCAGCAGCGCAGCTATCGCAAACGACAGATATAGTGCGGTGACCATTTTATTGCGAACGTCGTGGCAATTAAGTGTAATTGAAGATGGAGCGATGGAAAGCTTTGGGAGTAATCGAGATCTCACTATTGCGCGCGCAACATCTGTAAAAATTGCGAAAAACGAATAATATGTACTTTCATTGTTTGTAACGTATTTTTCATTTTTTTTTTACAAAATTTTATTCAATTAAAATTTAAAGCGTCTATCTTTTTTGTTGAATATGAAATTATTCGGCACATAAAAAGTATAAATTGTTATTTTATTTAATTTGGAAAATTTAACAGTTGAAAATATAATTAAAATTTTATTACATACTACGTGCACGCACAATATGCACAATTATGCACGCCAAAATACATTTTATGTATTGTATAAATATTTTAATTTATATTTATTTTATTTATGTTTGCTTATTTTTATCCGTAATTTATGGCACTATATTTCTTTATAATGAATTTTATATAGTATTAAAATAGTAAATTGTCCAAAAATTACTGCTCTCGTAAATTTGAATGCTTCTCCACAGCTTTTACAATATCATTTTTATTTTATCGAAAGACACAGATTTAAGACGCGCTGAAATATTTTAACTTCAAATCTCCAATATTTTTGCATTTAATAATTTAGTATACCGTAGAGCCGTTTGCTTATCGCCAGGTAGAACTGTTGAAAAATACGAGACAAAACTGTGCAATGCTCCAAGCGTCTTCATCGCAATTACATGGACCATGCAAGCCGGAAGTAGCGGCAGTATTAAATGTCGGGTTTAATTACACGTCCAGCCTTACGACGGCTACAAAAAGAAATTAATTAAGGCAAACCTTGAGTTGTTACGTAGTACGTAAGTCAAGGTACTTAACTTTTTACGCGTCTTCGAAGGAGTAATGGAAAGCTCGTTTCGCGCTTATCGCAAGCTTCGTCGTAGCCGCAGCTGGCTACGGCTGGGATTGGTTGTATACCTACAGCTGCACGGAAAGTGGGTCGCCTGTGAGACACACAGCACGAGAAGTCCCTTCGGCGCTGAAGATAAGTACTTTCTCACCTCGGCTCGTGTCGAAGCAAACGCAGTCACGATCGTGGGGCTCGTTAAGCTTTTGGACGAAGTTTATGCCCGCGCTGCGAAACGCTGGGCTAAACCGAGATTCTGATGGAGGTTAAATTTGGCAGTTAATCTCGAACGAAGCCCAAGGATTTATGTCCGACAATACGCTCCGTACGATATCTTACTTTGTTCGGGATTAAAATACAAGCGCTCGCGTGACATTTCATTAATTTGCGAAATTACATTGATCATTAATTACGTAATAATTTAGATGTCTCATTCGCTCTTTCCATAAACATTAGACTTCTCTTAACTTTACTTATTATTTATACGAGGCACTTCAGAATATATCGTTATTACTATTAAAGAATACGCAATCAAATTGAAATAGTATCGTTATACTATACTATTGAAACATTAATTTATTTTACTATAATAATATAATCTGCAAGTCTAAATAGTAAAAGTACTACTGTGATTTAACATTTTTTTGAAAGATAATTATAGTAATTGTCTATAATTTAGTTAATATGAACTATTTCGAAGTCAAATCAGGCTATTTAATATCCGGCTATCTACGTATCCTTAATTTTATGCCATTTCAACGAGCGCTAATGCAAAGCCATCATAATCGCGACTTCTTATAGTGGTGAATACATTTCTTAGGGATAAAAACTGCGAAAGTAGCTCAGCAGGATCGTTAAGCTCTCAAAAAGGTTCATTATTAAGCTTTCAATGCAACAATTTGTCATAGTTCGTTCAACGAGACTTGTATCCGATACTTATCTGTAAGAACTAATTCATTAGTTTTACCTTTCCGTAACGACATGATTCTAGCATAATATGAATATTTCTTGCGTTAATTGAAAATGAACGCTTCGAATGTGCCGAGTTTAATTGAGCTCGAACCACTGTTGCATATTTTTGCAGTCGGAACTTTCAGAGTGTACGGACAACATGTGGGCACCGCTACGTGTTAGAAATTTATGATACGAAGAGT